ACAGTTGGAATTACAAAGTACACTGCTTTATAGGAAACTAATCCCCTCAGGGACTAGTAAAACATGTTATCAACCACACTTGATAGTCAACAAAACCCAACATTTTTCCTAAGCACTATGAAAGCCAATCAGCCACAAGACCCAATAATCCCTTTCCTAGTATTCACAACTTTGTGTTGTCCCCTTTTATGGTGTACCATGCTGGTACAGTATTTGGTCTGGGTCATGAAGAGAGTGCAGCTGTTTGTTTTCATGGATTACTTGCCCTGGAGGAATTCAGATGTCAGTCCTCAGGCAGACACCTTTGTAGAGACATCCATCGTGAGGAGCTGAGGACCAACAGCCATGTAAGCAAGCCACCTCTGCTCCTGTAGCATTCATCAAGGCTTTATATGATGCAGCCCTGGCTGACAACTTGACTATAAACTTAAGAGATCTCAAGCTAGAACCAACCAGGCAAGCTACATCTAGACTGTCAAGTTAGAGACTGTGGGGGAATGTTTGTTTCATGCTGCTAAATTTTGGGTGATAAGTGACATACCAGGCAAAGATCACTGACTGATTCCCGAATTTCTACTCATAACTGCTTTGCCTAGAAATACTGAGTTATTTGTTTAAGACAAAATTTTAAATTCAAGCTTGTTTGATATTATGGTTCTCATTCAACTACTAAAAAAAAAAAAAAAAAAAAAAATCCTGAATTTACATTGTCACAGTTAAAACTCAAAATACAACAGGACAGCTCCTTAAAAATCTCTCACAGGATTTAAACTACACATATTTAATTGTGTTTCTCTAAGTTGCAAAAGATCTGAATTAGGATGTTGCTATTACAAATTGTACTATTTTTTTATCAGTTTTAAATTATTTCTTAAATAGAAAAGCAAGCTGGGCATGGTGATACATTCCTGTGACCCTAGCAATGAGGGAAGGCTGTATGTAAGCAGGAGGATCAAAGATTCAAGATGTTCCTAAGGAAAAAAAAAACATTAAAAAAAGGGCTTGGGATGTACAGAGGTTCTAGGGAAGGCATGGGAGAAGTGAACAAAAATTTATGGGCACCAGCACACAGTAACTACCTATAGTTGCCGATTGCAGAATTTAGCACAATGCAGGTGTTCCCTTGACATTCAGACATCACAGATCACTACCAGAACATCACATAAGTTTATTTCAGATGTAACAGCAATGTTAAAATTGAAAAGTTTAATTTTTAACGGCACCAAGTAAACTCAACCATTTAAGTATTTTTAAAGTCATTCCCTCCAAAAACTGAGGGAGCTTTTCTTTTCCACCACCACACCATGGTTTCCCAATAGTTCTCTTGCTG